GACAGAAGAATTTTGAGAGGAAATAATTTTTGTAGATTATCGTTAATTAAACGTTCCTCAAGCCAGAACATTTGTCGAAATTGAAAAATAATAATTCTTTTATCGTTTTTGAAGTGGAAATCTTTTCATGATATCGATACTCTATAAAATCGGTTCCTGATATTTTATAGAATTATTCAGAAAACATAAATGAATCTACCAAAATTACTCAATAAAAACATTCCACCATTTTTCATGAGTAGCGCAGTCTAGTTTAGTCATACCAAGATATCTTACGCACCTAGCACATATTATCCGTGCAAGGCGTCAATAATCCTTTTTTTTTTTAAATCTAGCATATATTAGTCGTACAAGGTGTTAACAGTCATTTCTTATGCGTCTAGCATGTATTATCTCTGAAATGTATGATTTTTTTATTCATGTAGCATACATTATCAGTACAAACATAAATAATATTTTCTTATGCATATAGCATATATTATCCGTGCAAGGCCTAAATAACCTTATTACGGCATCCACATGGTATTCCAGTGATAAGAAGTGTGGGCTATTCGGATATCTTCTTACATGAACCGCTACTATGTGAAACTTATTCCAGGGCGGATGCTACCCCGAAGGCTACAATCTTAACCTCTTCAACTCTATGGTCAAAAGTTATGTATTCTCCAAATCCTCACAATCTTCACTTCCATATTACTCTTCATACGTACATATCACACAACTGATTTAGTGACCTTCTCCAATAAGTTATTTGTTTTGTCTTACATCTGACCGCAAAAGTCAAACCCTAGAAAACGAAGCAGTGATAACTTCCTCTAGAAAATAAGGCTGTTAAACTATTAATATTCCTTATCTAATCACTAAAAATAAATTCATATATGAATTGTATTTCAAGTATATTACTCTAAAATCCCATCTACACTTCCAGGTCTACAAGGCGTGCACCTTATATTTTTTTCTTTATTGAGCCTCGGTCACATGATCCCTCCGACATGCACATATACCATTTCTGAAAAAGAATAAACAAAAAAAATTTCATTCACCCTTTAACAAAAAAAGTATCCCGGAGAATCCTTAATTCTTGGCCACTAGATTCCGTGACCCAAGCCCAAAGCTGCAGACCACAGTCCAGGTACAAATCACTCCAACAGTGAACTTTGTCCTCTCCAAAATACCCGAACACAAGTCAGCAATACTACCTCTGCAATCCAATATTCTCGGGCCAAAAATAACTCTTTGAGACTACAAGAAATTTACATACAATTAACAGAAAAATACTGATCCCAAAATCCAACAATACCTGCCAAAAGCCGCACACCACAACGTCAACCAATTCCATAAATGAACCACGCCTTTGCCATCTAAATTGTACACTTTAAATATAACATGATCCACACTTATTCCCAACTCACAGTGACACAGCACACACGATCCATTATCACTCTTTTTATTCAACCACAACCAATTAATTATATTTGCCGTTGGGTATTACCAGGCTAGCTTGAACAAATCTTCACAAATCTACCAGCATTAGTTTTTATAATTACTATAAATAACCATCTGCCTCTGTGTGTCAAAATTCAACAGGCACCATTTCAAATGCTGCTGCCCTTGGCGGCCCACCACGGAAAATCAACCACACCCGCACAGCACCCAGAACTAATCCATTAACGGCTCTACCGTTGTTACAAGGGTTTTTCTGTTAGTCGTCTACCGTGACCTGGTATCCCACAAGCCACCTGACCAATTCCTTTTGGTCGTCAGGGTTCTTCCTCGACATCTTAGGAATATATTCATTCGATACTGAATATTCATAGCATGCAATTCCCACTCTACCCAACATTGTCTGGTTTCTATCTACATTCCCAGGTGTGAATATTCCCCAGCAGCAGGACACAGAACGAAACACATTCGGAAACACGAAACTATGAAGGACGAATCTATTCCCAATGAATAATTAACCCAAGAATAAAAATTAACTTAAAAAAATTAACCACCAAAATTAACCACAAAAAAAAAGTAACCACAAAAATTAACCACCAAAATTAACCAATTAGCAAAAAAAAGGCAAAGAAACCACGGCACTTAAATGAAAAAAAAATCCACACCCTGTTACAAACAAAACAATCATTTTCAACTCATTAACAGTACACGTAAAACACAATGGGAATGACCCATCACAAAATGCCGTCAGTCTTGCTTTTTCAAAACAATTTTCCCTTGCGTTCACGTACGCGAAAATTAAAAGGTCCACCAAAAATTAACTGGTCAAATAAACTTCAAAAGAAAATTTTCTTTTAAAAGCTAAATGTTTGTGGCCAGTTTTTTCCATAAAAAAAATAGAAAAAAATAGACTGCCATACATACATTAAAGTGTGGCAATCAAAATCAACAATAGATGTTCGGACATGGTCTTAAACCTTTGTAAAAAGACACAGCAAAACAACAAATGTCAGTCTCTCACTAAAATCCTTCTGTTGACATGTTCCCTTCATCTGTTACAAAAATTTGTTCAAAAACAACGTTAAAGTAATTCAATCAGAGGTTGGCATTAATATTCGAAAAAAAACATGGCTGCCTTTATACACGTCGCATTGAAAAGCACATTGGTGAACTATAAAATGAATGACCCATCACAAAATTCAAACAGGTTCTCACTGTGTCCCTCTTTCTTTCTTTTCCCCAGTCGTTTTTTTCTCCTGTCCATCAAACCTTGTTCAAATTTTTTTTTAATTTTTCCCTATTTTATGAGGGCGTTTATAAATACTTAGTTTTTTCTGTGCTTACGTCTAGAATTTTTTCATATTCCTTTTGAATCCTCCTCTGAAATCTTCTTAGAACATTACTTCCTCCAAAAAAACCTGGTCAACAAATATGAAAATTTCGTTCTGAGGGTTTTACGATAAATAAGTTGTCTTTTAATCATGAAATCCTTTGTTTTGAATCAAAAGAAAATTTTAACTTTTAAAACGTATACGTCTTTAAACTACTGGGGAGCAGTTTGTGTCTACATTGTTTGACATGTAAGAATCAACTCCTTGAAATCCCATTCGCTATCTATCGTTTTCACGCTGGCTCAACCATTTAAGATCGACTTCCTTGTTTTATTTTACATCTGACCTCAAAGTTCAAACCTAGTAGGTCGAAGCAGCGATACACCTCTAAAAATAATACTTTCTAAACATGAATTAAAATGAGCATTGATTTTTTCAAATATTTGTAGAGGATATTCTAGGGAGATATTAAATAAACCGGAGCAATCATTTTCTCCTTGTAGTTACTTCGAGGTTAGAAATATTTCGGTGCTTGTGTCCCCGTCAGAGATGTTTATCAGGTCTAGACATTAATCTTATTGACAATTTAGAAGTCCTTTTCTAATGAATGCGAAGAGAAAGCATTTATTGATGTGCTCCTATGCTGCCATGAGATCAGCATAGCAGGTATACATTTTTCTATTGCAGAGGTATGCAATTTCCGGGAGTTGTTTGATGACATATATGTAATTTCCTGTTGTTTTTCATGGCATATAAAGTCATCATTACACCGATTAGCAGAACTAATAATTGTAATCTTGTCTATTTGTTCTTTTTATTTGAATAAATATAAATAATTTTTTTCTTTCTAAACATGAATTAAGATTAAAGCAATATAGCATTCATATTGTATCAAGTTTAGGCCTGCAAACTTTTCATTATGTGAATCACATCTCCTAGAATAATATTAAGACAAAGATTTTATGAATATCAACTAACAATTGTACTGCCTGCTTGGCCAATGTATATCAAATGAGTAACTATTAATATTATTATTATCATCATGCTTTATTCTTAGACCGAAACTTTTGTTTTTTTCTTAAATAATGTTTTCTCTTACGGAAACAGCTAATATTGACATATCATTCGTTACTTTTACCTAAACGAAATAACAATTACTTCTCAGCAGCGATATCTACGGTAGTTTATGTTATGAGGGCCATGTCGTATGTTCTACTGTACTGGGTATGACGATAAACTACATTCGACAGCAAATGCTCTGATCGGAAGACTTTGAGAATCGTGGTACCAATTTTTAATTACTGTTGTTCCTAGGTTCACCCAGACTGCGGGTAGTAGAAACTGTTAGGGTACCAGATATGGGCAAAAAGAGAACCCCCGGACTGGGTTTAAAACATTATAAGCATATAATAGATTTTATCTAAAAATACCAGTAATACAATTTCATAGTAAAAAATTTCCAGCAATAAACATTTTTGTAGAAAAAAATAGAAATAATACATTTTTAAGTTAAAAAAATAAATTACGGATGCTCCCAAGAAAATTAAATTTCGGCATTAAATGAGCCATAAAGAGTTTACATTCCATTAAACAAACCAAACCAAATCCTATGTTCTATATTATTTTTGCTACCCAGTCTAGTTAAGCATTCCTTATTTGAAACAAAGTATTGTCAGTTTTTCATGAATGAGATGATATTTACTTGGTACATATACATCAGATGAAGCCGCTAAGGCACACCAGCAGAAATGCTGTGATAACAAGAACAAAGATGAGGCTAATGGTCCGAATATAAACAGTGTAAGTAATATCTCATTCCAAAAATCCAAAACGAAATATGACATTCTCTAAAAATAAACATTTGTGGTAGGCCAGATGTAAGTGACGGAGATATAGTTTGGGGATCACATCTTTAAACCATCAGATTTTGAGGAGAATCACCTGTTACTTCAGCACAATGGTGTCCACGAGTCCAACCACTAAGCTCGCCACTATTTTTTTTTTTTACAAACTGAAACGTTAAAAGAAATATATATTCGAACAGAAGCAGATTTCAAACACTGATTTTTTTTTTTTTTTTTGATTCATTTAGGCCAATCGAGAGTTATTCTATCATGTGACTATTGATAGGCCAATGATGTGTAAGGACTGGAAAGTTTCTCTGAAAATGAAACCAGGGAAATAAAAGGAAAAAAACTGACTTTGGTTGTTCAGCTTTGACTTTACCGCGATGCAGGTAGCCGAAAGACAGGTAATCGGCCATGCTGACATTTCCGGCAGATTACACTCTGCTCGAAGTGGTCGATCGTAACCTAGAATCGAGATAGAGGCTATAGAAGATACGGGAAAAGAAGAAAGAAAAAAAAGAAGACGATGATGATGATGATGAAGATGAAGAAGAAGATGAAAAGGATAATGATGATGGATAAAAGAAAGATGATAAAGAAGACGAAGATGATGAAAATGAAGAAAAAGACGATGAAGATGAAGAAGAATATGAATAAGAAGATGAAGATTGAAATGATGATGGCGAAAATAAAAATGAAAGAAGAAGATGAAGAAGAAGATGAAAATGATGATGATGAAAATAAAAATGGAGAAAAAGAAGCGGAAGAATATGAAGCAGAAAATGAAGATGAAGAAGAAGATGATGAAGAACATGGAGAAAAAGATGATGGAGTAGAAGAAAATGATAAAGATGGAGAAGATGATGAAGAATAAAATAAATATGATGACTAAGAATATGATGGTGAAGAAGATGAAGTTGATGAAGAAGAAGAAGTAGTAGAAGAATTTTATAAAATCAGATGTATGAATCTCAAAACGTTGCATAACAGAAGCAAAGACGACACAAAATTGAAAGCAGGACGAGAAGCAAAATGGCGTCAGAAAGTCGGGCAAACAGTGAATATGATGAAGTAAAACAGAGAAAACATGGAAAGCGAATGCATCGCCCATGGATAATTTTAAATGTCAGGGCAGTAAGAAATGTAAAGGAAGAGAAAGAAATCTACCAAGGAACAGAAAGAATGAAACAGGTCGGCTAAAATAGGGAAGGAAAAAAAATCGAAAGCTACGTATGGAGCGAACAAGTGGAAAACGATTAAGGGCAGTAGAAGATAAAATAATGACGCAGAAGTCAGCAAGGAATAAAAGAAAAAAGACAAGGGGAACAGGTAGATGAATTAAAAGGAATATGTGGTAATAAAATAAACACATCCCATCTCCCCTCTCGCTTGTAACCATCCATCACAATAAAATAAACTTTTTTCAGTACTAAAGCAGAATGAGACAAATGAAGCTTCATAAGCTTCTAGAGTTGTTACTATATTACAGAATAAATAAAGAAAAAGAAATAAAAAGAAATGAAGTGTAGCAGAGAGTAAAAGAAGGCGACTAATAAAAAGAAGATATGAAAGAAAATGAAAAAGGGAAAGAAAATAGAAGAAAAAGAGAAAAAGAAAAAAAAGAAACAATCAGTGTGGATAATAAGAAACAAAGAAAGAGAAATCGAGAACAAAGATAAAACAAACATAGATGAAAGGTAGAAGAATAAAGAAAACAAAATAGAAAAAAAATGACTAAGGGAATTTTTTCATAGACTCATGTATGGATATAGCGATTTCTTTAATCAGTTCAACCAGATTATGACGATAATGCCCCTGAGAGTTAGTGGGAAGTGATAGAGAATGAAAATACCAAAAAAGGAACCTGAAAGGCAAACCTAATCAGGAAACAAAAAATAAGCCTCTGCTCTTGTTCAAAAGAACTGGGGGAGGAGTGTGAACCGGTACAAGGTGAACATATCTATTCCTATTGAGAATTAAATACATAAGTACTAAATAGTGACGTTAGAGGTATATAGTATGATTTTTGAAGGAACCAGAAACCAACTCCTAAACAGGAAACAAGGGATAAACCTCTACTCCTGTTCAAAAGATCGAGAAGGAGTGTAAACCAGACGATAAGCGAAACTATCTAAACTTATTAGACTAAGCTTAGCTTCAATGTGACATGAGGCCGAAAGTATGGGGAACCCAATGTCGATCGAATACACTATGCAGTCGTAATTAATCTAACGAGACAAGCTTATCATCCATTACATTACGTCGAAGTAATCAACCCACGTATGAGAAAGGAAATAGAAGGAAAATATCAAAAAAGGGAAACAGAAACGCAACCCTAAACAGGAAACAAAAAATAAAACTCTACCCATGTTCAAAAGACTGGGTAGGCGCTAGAGGAACATATCTATTCCTATTGAGAAATAAATAAATAGATGCTATATAGAAGACAGAGACGTTAGAAGTATATAGTATGATTTTTGAAGAAAGCGGAGACCAAATTTTAAACAGGAATCAAGGGATGGACTTCTACTTCTGTTCAAAAGAGCGGGAAGGGATATGAACCAGACGATAGGCGAAACTATCTACTCCTATTAAAACAAAGTGTAGCCTCAATATGACACGAGGCCTAGCGTATGGAGAACCCAATGAGGATCGAATACACTACTCAATCGGAATTAATCTAACGGGACAAGCTTACCATCCGTTACACTACCACAAAGTATCCAACTCACGTATGGATGCATATGTAGTCTATTTTGAGAAAAATTAATCCAAATGACTTTAGTCACAGACACAAGCCTGAAGAGATACGACCTCGTTTCTCTATTATTTTAAGACTACAGCAAGATAGGCTCGTTCGATAAAAGCTAATGAGTTTATTGTCAACGGAAGTAACGGTTCTATCATTTTTTTTTAAATTCAGAATTTTAAACCATTTTCAGTTTTATTTGGTACTACACAATATGACATCTTCAAGGGTATTTGTAACTTTGTAAAAAATAAGACAGGCCATAAAGAAAAAAAAAAACAGGCAAAATAGTCTGTAAATTCTGAGAAGCCTATACAACGAAGCAATGCTAACTTTGTTTTCGTTATTGAGATGTAAACAAACTAATTTTTAAGTATTAGGTTGGTGCAAAAATAATGACGTAATACTGTCGTTTTTGACGTATTTTTTAACGTCAAAAAACGACATTATTACGTCATTCTTTTTGCACCAACCTCATAATTAGTCAAATTATTTGTGGGTGACTCGATTGGCTAAACCAAGAAACGTGCGTTGATAGGCAAACGTATTATCTCTCTTTTTCTCCTTTTTTCTCTTGCTTCCAGATGCAGTCAAACGTAGAGAAACAACGTTGCCGCTGGTGCACGTTAATTTTCGTGGACTTCTGTTAACTGATCTCTTGCACACACTCACATACACACACGTCTACCACACACGCTTATTCCCTACCTACAAACACAGAAGCAAACATTCTCATAGGTAATTTTAATGTATTTTCCTGTTTATTCCAAATGTGTACACGTGTAAATACCTTTGTTAATACATACATTAAATGGCGTTTGTTTTAAATTAATCATTCTGTGTTTTTTATTCACAAAAAGGTGGGCACAGTGGAATAATGGGTAGCGGCTCGCATTGAGGAATCGGAGAGCCGAGTTCGAACTCCAGTAGAATCACTTACGTCCTAATACCCTTGGGAAAGGTATGAATCCTCTTCTTCTTCTCTACCCCTAGCTATGGGTAAATAGCAGGACAGACCGGACTCTATAGCCTTGGATAGCAACTGCCGCAGAAAGAAATGACAACCGCCTACGGGAAAAATCTGCCTCGTCAGTCATGTATCGAAAATTACAAGATCGCCTAACCGTGTATCAAGCATGCACATAAATGACTGACTGATTCACAAGAGTCCGCCACTATTATTTGCAGGATAATTAGTTAGGATATTAGTTCCAGGAGCCCATAAATAATTACTAGACACTCATATCCGAAGTGTTGATTCCCACAATTCAAAATTTTGAGGCGAGCCAACCCATGCCACGTCAACACATCCCAAATCACTATGGAACCACCAACAAGGTGTACGTTCAAAACGGTGGTTTATGGCCTCATCGCCTTTGAGTCACACTCGCAAGCTTCCATCAAGGTATGACGATAAACTACATCCTGCAGCAAAACATTTGATTGGCAGGTTTTGAATAGTGTGTAACCATCTCTTAATTGTTGTTGTTCTCAGGTCTACCATGACGCGTAGTGGTAGCACCTGCTAGGGTCCCATCTATGGATAAATAGTGACCCCCCCCCAAAAAAAAAACTGGTGTCAAAACATTATGAAAGTATAAAAATATAATATTTCTGTTGTGAGAATACCACCAATACATAGTTACCAGCAATATGTTCTAAAAAAAAAAAGCTTTACATTTTTGAAAAAATAATTACCAAATCTCCAAAGAAAGTTAACTTTCAGCATTAATTAATTATAAGGATTTTATGTGCCGTTAAACAAACCAAACCAAAACAAAGCAACAAATTCAACATTATTTTATTTTATATCTATAAGTTTCTTTTTAGAACTACACTTGTTTTTTAAACATCGATATTACAGTCGATGAACCTAGAAATCTAAAGATTAAGGAATTGGGCAGCCGACAGATTTTTTCACCTGTATCATATTATTAATCAGAAAAGGTTCCTTGCATGACAAGCATGATAGACTATTAAGAGACAAGCCATGACAGTAAGACAAAGCTCAATAACCTACTTTAGAAATGCGCATCTCTCGTTGCTAGCTTTCGAATTGTTTTTAAATAATGAATTAATTATTTCATCCTACAAATTTGCTTATTGCTGTAAATATTAATAATTCACAATGAATTTTACATCAAAGTTGTTCAATAGTTAGCGCTCAAATCTTTGTTATTATCTAGTCGGATCATTCTCTTTGTCTGCTTTTCGCTGTTTATCACCGGTGCTCGTAGGATTGAGTTAAGCAAAGTTGTGCCTGGTGTGTATCGAGACCACATGGGAATACCAAGTGCTATACGTTTTGATGTACGCCTGATGTGATCAATAAAGGCTCAAAATTGGAAATCGGCGAGCCGTTCCAATTTCAGTCGGATTACTTATATTCAGTTATGCTCAAATGCCCTTGGGAAAGGTATGAACCCACTTCTCCCTGCATCTATGAGTTAATTAGTTAGACTTGCATGAGTAAATCATTATTATCTCTCTCAAAACTCATACAATTTAAAAATATTTTCTGGGTTTAAATAACGTGCATAATTGTTGGTAAGCTGTAGAAAAAAATCAACCATTAAGTTTCGCTGTTTATCTATAACTAGCAGCAGGGCCCGGCGTTGCCCATGCTTGATTCAAAAATCGTACGATTCACAGAGAGCAATCGCTATCACTTGACTTAAAATATTTTTTGCCCTTCGTTGCCATTAAAGTAGTGCCCTTTGCCGTGATGATGCTACATGCCTTGCTTGCCTATCTCACAATGATTTTTTTCTAAGCTCTATACTAAACATTAAATCTGTTATGAAAAAAAGAACTAAACAAAAATGAATACAAAACGATCAGCTTTAAAAAAGGACTCATACCTGGAAAAACCGAATGAAAAAAGAATGTTACAACAAATACTTTTTCTTACCCAACACAGTTCTGCGGAATCAGAATCAACGTTGAAATTTAAAGCAAGCGAATGAGCCAATTGGAGTAAAGTGCCATGCAGATTTAAAATTTTCTCACTTGTGACGAATACAGCTATCGATTTTTTTTGCATGCTAGCATGCTAGAAAACATTCGTGTCAATCAGCTGTTGGCTCTCTAGCTGGCCACTAGAATCTTCCTGCCTATTCGTGGCAGCCAGCTATAAGCTCTCACTCTGGCCAGTACAAAATGGCTGCAAACTACATGAAAAGTGCCGTAGAAGTATGACAAAAATCGATTATTTCCACTATCGATGGGAGTTGGAAAATGCAACGTCGCTCTTGGCCTTCCTGCTAACTTTGAGCATGTGCCTGTAAATTTTGGTGCAAATCCGTCGAAAATTGCGGCCGTGCATTCGTTACACACACACGCACGCACACACACACACACACACACACATACACACACACACACACTTTTTATAGATAGAGATAGATAATGAATTATTTTTCAAGACGTAGACAATCATGGCTCTCCACAATTTCCTATCGTTTGTAATGTTTAGCAAGATTGGAGTTTTCCCTATCCCACTCTGGCATATATTTACACATGTTTATTTATTTTTTTCTTTTTAATTCCAGGGTGATAGAAAAGTAATTCCCTATTTAATGTATGGTGGACTCTCCTGTCTAACTATAATTTTTACAAGACGGGTGAGTCCATTATATCAGGTATAAAATAGGGAGTTACTTTTCACTCCCGCTGTAGATTATTCAACGTTTCTGTCTTTCCTTGTCTTCACTATGAACTGTAAGTGTCAAATTCTCCTATCCCTCTTACCTCAGTATATGTCATAGAAATCTCAAATGTCTTTTTCTGATTCTAATTATATACTTCCATTTCGTTTCCATTAACCTTAAAATTTATTCGTAACTTACATTTCACGGTATTCTCAGTATCCTCCTGTAGACCTACATCTCTATTGCCTCAAGACACTTATTCATCTGTGAGGCAATTGTCCCGCATTCA